GTCCCTTTACCAGAGACTGATGCATTATGTATCCTTCTTGAGAAATCTAAAAGGTAAAAGGACAACACGGCAATATTTAACTAGCCCAACTCATGAACAACAGCAAACATCAATTTTGATCAGTTGCTGATTACCAATTCCTAAAAATGGAATGGATGCGTGAGATCAATGACAAACCAAAGGGGACAATATACAAGCAATAAGGAGTGTCTTGCCAGTAGAGAAAAAAAAATAAATGAAACCAACTTATTTTCCCAGCCTACAACCAGCCCAATGCCTCTTTCCCCATTGTCATCTTGTATGCCCATTAACAAGCGAAGTCTTTTCTGATTTTTTTTCTTTAAAGCTAGAGTCCATGATTAAAACGCTAGAGTGGTCTAAGTTTTATGAAACATGCACCTTTGTCTTTACAAGATGAAAAGTAAAAACAATCCTTATGAAACAGCATGTTTAACCATTTTAAAGCAACAATCCTTCAAACTTCAGTGCAGCTAAGGTCATTTGGGTTGTGAGAAATACAGAATCCCAGGAAATACCTCCAAACAATTCTAATGGCCTGTAGAACTCTTTGAAATGCCAACCAAATTACAATCAACCCTAACTCCATTTTCTGGATTATAGGCAACTGACTGCAATTAACAAGCCAAGCCTACTCAATTTGCACATCTTGCTAGAATAATTTTTACCCATGAAAATCTTCAGGCTAGAGTTCTTAACTAAATATGACCCCAATAGTGAAGAAAGTTAGTCTGCACTCATCTCAACTGTGTTAAAATTAGCAAAACCCCCACCATTTTATTAATAGTTTGGGTCATCCTTAAAAGTTAGTATATTGATAAACTGCACCATTAACCACTTCGAAAGAAATTAACTTTGCTGGAACGTGTCAGTGTATTTATTATGCAAGCATTTATAGATTCTGATATTTGAGGTTAGTATAAGCCCAAACCAAATAAACTCATTATACATTTCAGGACCAACACAAGTATTGTGATGGACAGTAAGTTATTATGGTTTTCAAAATACCCAATATCTCAATGCTCTAAACATAAAGTATTTTTAAAGTAGGAGATACTTCAAAAAACTTTTCCAAGCAGTAAAACAATAAAAACACAAAGACTAAAGAATAGAACACAAAAGCTTAATTGGATCCTAATGTTAACACTACCTTTCAAAATTATCTCAGCATGAATGGCACAGGAAAGGTGTTCCACACACTATATTCTAATACTTGTGACCAACAATGAAGCAATTGCCACTCCAGTGTGGAAAGAGTAATGTGTTAACAAGACCTGCAATCTTACAACACATTAAATGTTAGGAAAGAAATAAAAGATGAAACCAAGAACCCCAGAAAGAGAGGTAAACTCACCTGGTAGCAGGACTCTAGTAAACCAAAAAGTATCAAGATTTGAATGAGGAAAGCAGACCTAGAAAGTTCATGTTACTTGAAAAGTGGGATTGATAGCTTAAGGGTCTACAGAACTGATGAAGCATTGCCATTAGTTATCTAATACTGTCCATTAGTAAATTGGGATTGATTTTTAATAAACTAGCACAGCACCTATGTGTTTTGTTGGCCAAATTCTAGAGTACCGAGTGAGCTACTTATAATTTACCTGCCCTTTTCCCCAAAAAAACAGCTGCTAAATACAGACCATGTCACTTCTAGTCTCTTCTGAAGTCCTCCTAAACATCAATACTTCAAAAAGGGGCGAGAGAGAACACCACAAAAAACCCTGAAGACAAACATGGGAGAGAACAAATTTTAAAAGCTGCAGTTTATGAACAAATGACTAAGTATACAAAAGAAAAACTGAATGTACTATCAGTGGTGAGAATCTCTCAGATTAAAACCACAGAACTGTCCCCAAAGGCTTAGCAACCCACATACCTTCGGAAATGTAAAAAGGACTAAAAGATTGTTGGGAAGTCTGACAAGCAGTTAAATCCCCAGATCCACTCCATACTGCTAGACTACTTAACTCCACCTGGCAAAAACTGGAGATTATGTGAAGTGGGTAAGAGAGGGTGATCTTTGGACTCAATAGGTATACAGTGATGAAAATAAAAGAATTAAAGTAGTTTACATATTCAGATCCCACAGATTTCTTCTCCCACTGGGATCCTAGAATACTGGAAGCCAGGCTTTTTATCCTTCAAGTAGAATTTTGGAAAAAATATCCATGGTGAACCTTACTTTACAGCTCCCAACTCCCGGCCCAATTCACAATACCCAATTAGCTTTTTAAGTGCTCCACACCTAAAAATGAGCCAAGGATCATCAAACATTTGAAGAAATGTTCTACTATGAAAGGCAGAAGCCAAAGCAAAACGAAAATAAAACATCTTGGGAGAAATAAACTTTTAAAGTCATTAATAACTGTACAGATGAGGTTAATAACCTTACATGGATAAGAATTCAACAGGTTGTTGTTTGAAATTTCAAACGTTAAATAACAGACTGCAATGGAAAATAGAAAAATAGTCCCAAGCTTGCACAAATTCCGAGAGAGAGAATTCCAAAGAGAGATTGGGGTGAAGAGGAAAGAATCAGTTCAGAAACATTTCCCAGAAGTGAAGACAAAGTTTACACAATGACAGAGCCCATTGGGTACCCAGCACACACAGGTGAGAGAGGTAAAACCCTAACCTAATTCATGTGAACAAGAATCAAAACAGCCATCAAATTTCACTAAATCTAGAATTCTCTGTCTAGCCAAACTACTAATCTGTAGAGTAAAATAAACCTTTAAAAGGTTTGAGAACAGAGCTACGTAAAAAGCAAGTTCTGGGTTTCAGGAAATGAACGATTTAAATTGACAAAGGGGACAAGTTACACAACAATTCTAAAGGGCAGTAAGTTTAGATTGGAATATAGAAGACCTAAGAAAAACATGAAGCTGATAAATGGATTTGTATACAGATAGAACTTTCCGATTCTGTGCAAGTTTGAAATTAGAGCCTGCTATACAGAAAAATATTCATCTCTAGGTCAAGAGATAATGTCTGAATTGGACTTCAGGATACCACTTTAAATGTGACTTAGGATATATGGAAACAAATAATGTAAACATCAAGTAAAGAGTTGTTTTCCCTTAACTATATGTGCAAGTATAACTTTCATAAAAACTCAAGTGGGAATGAATTCCCCCTCAAAACTAAACTAAATCGTGGAGGGTAAAGAATTAATACTGAGTATAGCCTTAGTTTCTGGTTTTTGCTAATTAAATCTATCAAGTCACGGAAGACAAGGTTACATTAACATTGAAACAAAGAATAAAAATTAGTTTTCCAGTAGCCAATGCAACTAAACCCTTTTTAAAACCTAAGTTTTAATCCAATCAGTGTTAATTTCTTTTTTAGAGAAAGTTTTGATGGGACTGTTTACATAAAATAAGCATGCTGCTGCTTAACACTAGATTGCCCAAGGAAGTCATTTTGACTGCTTTTTAATTTCAATTAGAAAAACACATTATGTATATAAGGACACAATGTCTTAGAATTTTGTGACTTTTTGTACAACATATAAATGCGTTTATTAATAATTGTAGTTACCTCCCCCTCCTTCATTTCCAGTATATATATATATATATGTGTGTTATACCTATATTGCCCAAAAGCAGTCATTTTGACTGCTTGGGAAATTATGACTCTTACTATTGAATTGAGTAAATTTCTTATATGACCAGTTCGGCTCTGTATTGAAATAATAGTTTTCATTTTTTTTCGATTACCGTCACATAACATACAAGTACATGATAAATTGTCAATACTTGGTAAGTTGCAGCTGCTCAATAAGCTAAACTAGTACTTGTTATTCGAATCTTTATGCAGTGATACTTGTTCTAATAAGTTATTTTATTTCTTTTGCGCCCAAAATTCATGAAAGAAATGTCGAATAGAAGTGAGTTATTAAAAAGCTAAGGAACATAAGTGAAGAGTGCTCCAATATTCTTTCACAATGCAGTAATTTTGACTGCTTTTGGGCAATATAGGTATATACTAAATTTCAGTCTTTCTAGTGTTAACAATCCCAGCACAAATTCACTAATTCAGATTAGGGGTCTGCAAGCTTTTCTGTAAATGTAAATTCCAGGTAATAGTTAGGTTTTACAGTTCTCCTTCACAACTACTCAACTCTGTTGCAGTGGGGGGGGGGGGGGGGGGAGGGACACTACCAAGAGCCCTACAATATACATAAACAAGCATAGCTGTGCTGCAATACTGTGACAAAAGCTGGCTTCAGGCCCCTTATTTAGGTGTCTATCATAAAAATTTAACTTACACTAATTTTGCTCACTTAAAATGCTTGCCTAGTTGGAGGTTAATTCTTAACATAAGGCATGATTCATCTCCATGAAAGGAAATAAATTATAAAATCACTTCACTACAAAATTATTAGATCATTTCTTTCACATTCCTTTCTTCTAGCTCTTCTCAGCCATCAGGCTCCACTTTGCTGAACAGACAGGATCTTAAGTTACCACAGGATAGAACACTTACTAAAATCCACTCGAGTAATAACTACAAAGGATTTTCCAAGTAGATGCGTATCAATTCCCTAAATGTTAATATTAGATCAATTCCCTAAATGCTAATAGATACTAAAAACCTTCCAAATGAAAGTCTAGTTCTACATTTTACATATAAAACGAAGACTTTAAAAGGAAAATAAAATCAAACAAATGAGTACACACACATAAACACAGTATACATTTCTTTAATCCTCCCTTACCATTTGAATATCTGGGGGTAAATCCACCACCACAACCCTAAAAAATTCTCTGAACTGCATTTCTATGATTCACATATTTTCTATCCTTATTTTACTTAATGGAAGCACAAAACATTAAGTATCTGTGCAAAAAGGGTTCTTGCATATTTATCCAAATTTGTTCTAAGTAGTACAATACATATTAAGCAAAAACCGGGCATTTGGGAAAGTATTCATATAAATCTTAATGGCTACATTAAAGTAGTATTAAAACATCCAACAA